TTAAATTGTGGGTAAGGGTAGATAGCTCCCATTGTTCTGTGACCTGTCAATCATCAAACCGGGGGTCAATTTCATTACGTGTTCATTTTTACTGAAGTTGTACCCATGGATGTATAAAGAATAGTTCTACCGCAAAGTTATTCTGACGTGGGGACTTCCGGCAACAATCTTGATTCTGATTGGCCAGAAGACTCGAAAAAACATCAGCAGAGATGTTTTATTGAGAAAGATGATCACTACGTGACAGAAGTTTTTCAAAACCATTTATGGTCTCTGGTACTTCCAGTCCAACGCCTACTGCATGCACACCGTTAGACAAATCGCGTCCTTCAAATAAAAGTTTGCCATTTTTTCTAAAACACAAAAAAAAAAAATTCAATTTTTTTTTCCAACTTTTTTTTCTTCACTCACACATCCGCGACCCACTTGAAACGGGTCCGCGACCCACTTTTGGGTCGCGACCCACCAGTTTGAGAACTACTGTGCTAGACTATAACACACAGGAGCTAGAAGACCCACCTGCTTCTTTTAAATCAGCTGTGTGGGAACATTTCGGGTTCCCTGTGGACTACAATAACGATGGAGTGCGAGTGGTGGATCGGACGAGGACGGTGTGCCGGCGTTGTACAGCGGTGCGGTATGCTAATGGTAACACACGCCAAACATGCTAAATCATATCAGAAGGCATCACCCAGATTTGCCAATCACCGGAGCCCGGCAAAAGACAACAGCAGTTAAACAGCTTATCCCCGCTGTTTTTAAGAAGCCAATAGACATGAAAGCGAGAGACCAAAATAAATAACGGAAGCTATTGGCATATATATTTCAACGGCAATGCACCCTGGAAACACTTTCTTATTATTTATTATGTAATTTTCAAGACATTCTTTTTAGTTTTACAGCTTGATGAAACCTTTTTGTTTAACATCAGCCATTATAGATAATATGGCCATCTGAGTGTGTGTGGTACTGTTTTTTTTTTTTTTTTCACTGTGTAATACAGTTCATTATTCAAAATGAAGTTCCTTATTTGTATACTGAAACTTGCACTACTGTTCAAAAATAAATAACAAACCTGGAATTATGCATTTGGGACTTTCTTTTTCTTGTTGTACCGAACCGTGACCCCCAAACCGAGGGTACATACCGAACCGTGAATTCTGTGAACTGTTACACCCCTATGTAACACTGTAACCTTTCAAGTAAAGGATTCCTGATTTTTAAGGTACATGTCTTTAAGAAGATAATCCTTAAAATGAGTTTATGTGACTTTTTTCAGCCCCAGTGGACAAAAAGACGAACGTCCCTGTTAGCAGCAGCGATGTTGGAGGACAGCATGAAAAGAGGACAGAGGAGCTGGATCCAGATGTGGAGGAGATCAAATATCGAGTGCTTCAAAGGTCGTCGTCTCCTGAACTGGAACCAGCCGCCCCCCCCCTCTGAAGACAGAGTGGACTGTCCCATCTGTCAGAGCTCCTTCCCGCTGACGCAGATCGAGAGGCACGCTGCGTACTGCGACGGAGAGGAGGGCGCGAGGAAGCCGGAAAAAGACTGTTTCCAAGGTGACAGAAACTATATTCTGTTTAACACACGAGGTCTCTTTCAAACATTTTTTTATTATATTCTGAAGCCCTCATATCAACTTTCACACAGGTAAATGCAGTTCAAAGGGCTTCACAGCTGGCTGACAAGGGGATGAAGCACCCACAAAAATATATTTCATTAATATTTTAGTTGGAAGGAAAAACAGGTTCTGGAGGCAAAGTCATTTCTGCTGAGTAGGAACGTTTTTGTGATTTGTTATTCATTTTTCTTGTGTTTATCACATTTTAAATATTGCTAGATATTCATGACATACATTTTCAACAATATCACATCGACTTGCTCTTCTATTTCAAGCCCATCTGTTTAAATGTTTTTCTGGTATGTCTATGATGTGCAGTAACATTTATAGTCAATGTAATCTGCAGTTTTAGATGAAAAGGGAACAGGTTTTTTAATGCCAGAACTTCTTTATCGTCATGTAACTGTTAACGTCTTGTTTAAAATTATGTGATTATTAATGCTTTAAACAACCCCTTCCTCTCCTCTCTATAGTGTCATTGAAGCCTCGTAGGAAGAGACCAAGGTTAGCCGAGGCGAGTTCTGCAGAGACCGGCGAACCCTCCAACACTGGCAAGTAAGTAGGTACGACCTGTGTGTATTTACAGGGACAGCTCAGTGTTTTCAGACACGTTGTTGTTTTCTGACTGGGTTTTATTTTCCACAGGATCCAAGAGAAATGTTACATCTGTCAGAAAGCTGTTCCCCTGAGAGACTACAGCCGACACACAGAGCTCTGCATCCAGAGGCAATCCTTGAATCGTCAATCCAATGCAGCCGTAAGCGCACACACACACACACACACACACACACACACACACACACACACACACACACACACACCACACACACACACCACACACACACACACACCACACACACACACACACAATATGATTACATTTCAATGGTTTGAGATGCAATAACATGCAACTAAAACTTTTCATGTATTGGATCTGACCAGTTTTTTGATAATATATATTTGTTGTCATATTTCTGACCTTCAGAAGGGAAATCTGCTGTCGGCTCTGGAGAAAACAGAGAGCAGAGATTCAGGTGAGTCTGAAATTATTTCTAAGTGTTACAAAAAGGCTGCAGTCATGCTGACACTTGTTCAAAGTACTTGGCCACAGTGTTTGTTAGCTCCATAGTAAAGGTAAGAGAAACACAACCTTACTCACCTGAAGCCAGAAGAACTGAGTTGGAGCTTTAACTATACATTTATCAACAGAAAATGTATCTGCCAGTGGCGAGCCGTCAGGGCCCTCTAGGCCCTCTGTGAGGGCCTAAGATATTCTAAAAAATAATATTTAAAAACATTTAAAAAATATATTTTTTTTTTTAAATATATATTTTTTTAATATTATTTGTTATATTTTTCATTAGTTTTACCGAAAAAAAACTTGATTTAATTGTATTTAAAATAACATTTCCAAAGAAATAAATCCTTCGAATCTGCCTGTTTCAGTCTCTGTTGAATGTGAAGGGTTACATGAAAGAAAGCTCGTCTGGCCCTCTCTGCGATTCACAGAGGGACCGCCGCTATAGTAACTGAACGAGAGAGTAATGTCAAATGACAGTACAATTGACCAATCATATCTTCCCTCTAAATGGGTGGGTTTTATTATCGCGGACTTTATGACAAGTTCCGCCCGCTGTGAAACTTTTTCTTGTTTCCATAGCAACAACAACTTCCTGTCAACAGCGTGAACTCGCCTTCAAAATAAAAGCATGCCAAATTACACTTAAGACATACAACTGCAACGAAAGTAACAAACACAATGCAATATCATTTTCAATGTCAAAGAACACAAATTGGTTTCACAGGTTGTTGTTTGTGTGGTAGAGGGTCGCTGTCATTGATGAGTTTTGCACCCTGGGCCGTTGTTTTGATATTCCGCTGAAGTATACGCTTGATGTGACGTAATAACTCTTTTGTTCTTTTTTCGAGGGAATTGGTGGGGGTCAGAGGGCCTAGGTATAAAAGTCACGGCTCGCCACTGGTATCTGCACACTTCTGATAGTCAAATTATTCATCTTTTAGAGTTTTTACCCTGTAAAATGTGAGGATTTTGCTACTCTCTCGAATTTATCCAGTTGAAAGTGTAATATCTTAAAAAAAAACGATGTGAAGACGTCAACTTGTGGTCTACCAGGCGTTATCAGACAAAATACAGTAATAAAAAATAAAATGTGTTGAGCAGTTTATAATAAGTTGATGGCGTAGCCCTCGTTGATGACCCATAGCGAGTCCTGATTCAGAACTTTAATATTCTGGTTAACACATCAAACTTTGATCCCATGACCTTCTTTTTTAACTATCCGATCATTACCTACAGCGAGAACTCAAAAAGGAAAGAATCATCAGTAAAACATTTGATTTGTTTCTTATTTCACTGGCTTCTTGTTGTTTCTTCACAGAGGCCGTGCCGTCTGGATCCAAACTCCCACAGAGGTAAAGACATCCTATTCAAAACAGTTTATGAATCAAGTTACATTCATCTTTTTCTTATCATTTGTATGTATTGTGAATGAAGAGGGCTTGGATTACTAATCCCTTTGCACAGATTCACATATAGAGATGTTCTACCTTGTGACCTCAGAGTGGCTCTGTATGCTAAAAAGTTAAGGCCCTTTTAAAATAAAAACAAGTTCATTAGAGCCAAATAAAACAAAATGTAATGCACCTCTGTGACATTTGACTGATATAAATAAGTTAGGGCTGTACCCGAATATCCGAATATTCGTACGTTGGAGTACTATTCGGGTTTCAATTTCGTTATTCGGATATTCGTTTTGTTTGTTTTTTCGTTTTTTTTTCCCGTTTTTTTTTCAAATTGAATTTATTGAAATCTCCAATATCAACGTAAGAGCTTGTGCCTCTTCGGGGGGTGCTAACACTTAACCATAAACGTTATCGTTTACTTTCTCCGTCTTTATATGTAGATATTACTTTTCTCAGTTAATCTCCGTCACGTTGTTTCCAAAGCAACAACAACTTCCTGTCAACTGCGCTAACTCTCCTTCAAAATAAAAGCATGTCCATAAATAGGAAGCCAAGCCAAATTACACTTAAAGGGCCCATGTCATGGCCATTTCCACTGATCATAATTACATTGTTGAGGTATACTAAAATAGATTTATACTGTGCAATTTTCCAAACTCACATTGGTTTCGCATACAGCATCTCTGTCAAGCATGTGTATTCAGCAGTATTCACTCTCTCCACTAAACGGCTCGTTGGAGCTCTTGCCCCCCCCTCCCTGTGAGCCTAGTGTGCTCCGATTGGTCAGCTCGGCCACTCTGTTCTGATTAGTCAACCACCAGAGAGGCTCCGCCCATGTCTAACTGCTTTTTCGGCTCGCTCTCGGAACATCAGTCTTATAATGGCGTCGGTACAGCCGTATATTTCATACGCTAACTAACCGAACTGTACCTACAACTGTTGTTATAGAAGAGTAAGTTATTTTTACCTGTAATAAACTACTACTGTTTGATGAGAAATCAAATCATGGTTTGCTATATATGAATGATATGTTATAGGTCTCCCTTGAAAAAGAGATCGTTGATCTCAATGGGATTTTTTAACCTGGTTAAATAAAGGCTACAAACAAACAAACAAACAGGAGCAAATAATTCAGGGAAGAAAGGATAGGCCTACTAAGTATTTCCATCAAACTTTATTTTTAGAAATGTACAAAATGAACATAAATATACATATATACACTGTATATCATCCATTCCTCCCCTTATAGGCGTTTTCGGTATCTTGCCTATCGCAGCTTTGTAAGCGGCTGCCGGGGCTTTTTAGGACGAGGCATCAGAGTGGTCATCCCGTGTGTGTGTTGTCCGCCAGATAAGCCAGGAGTTTCCTGATCTGGCTGGACGAAATCAAATGCAAATCACAAAATATTAGAGAAACTTAGTTGTTTTAGATTCGTTAGTAGTAGTTGTATCTATCTAATCTATCTATCTAATCAACACAGTTAGCTTGAGGTAGCCTAGTTGTTTAGCTATGTAGCATACACGCTATGAACGGTAGCTTGGTAGCATACACGCCAGGAACGCCAACTATAATGTACTGACCGTACGGTAAATCACCCTGAGTATACTGTCTATGAGCATTTCGTGTGTGAATGCAGACATTCTCCTGCTATGAGATACATGTATGTAAGGCCATCTGCTGATATTAGAGTTGATATATGGAAATGCTAGCAACTTAGTTAGCACTGTGTCAATGGCTTAGCAGTCCGACACACGTTTACACATTTAAACAGTCGTGGTAGATACCTTGTTTGGGAGACATTCCTAACGAAATGAAGTGCCAATCACAAAATATATATTCGAATATTCGAATATTCGCTGCTGATTACTACCGAATATCCGGAGCCCGAAAAATGGTATTCGGGACAGCCCTAAAATAAGTTGATTACTAAGATGAAAACACCAAGCCAAAGATATTTATATCACCAAACCACGCTTTGAGATGTTTTGTTGTATGTTTGTTCTCTTTTAGAGAAGTCATAGACCTGCGGGATGATGATGATGATGAAGAGGAGGAGGGTGACAGTGTTTCAGTGCTCAGGATCAGTAACTCTCCCATCAGATCCTTCACTCCCATCTCAGAGGCCACCGGCTGCCTTATCGACTTCAAAAAACAGTATCGAGGCAAGAAGCCGCGCCAAAGAAGAAAATGAGGATGACCTGACTGAAAAAACTGGAAACCAGAGCCTTAACTTAAAACCCATCAGGTTGGACGTGACATTACGACTTCCTGATGTTACATATTTATGCAGGTAACTGAATACAAACTGAGCATTTGGACGACTGATTGTGATTCTTTTTGTGCCACTAAATAAGTTTGTTATGTTAAAGGTGATTCAGACTACCTCTTTATGAATTGAAATATTTCCCTTTGAGTTATTTTGTACGAGTGGCTGTCTTGACAGTATGATTATTGACTACAGCATCATGTCTAAACCCCTGGAGTGTCAATCAGATACATAAAAACATGATTTTACTGGATTTCAACTTTGAATATGAAACTAAATAATTGATTGTATTCTTTGTTTCACCACTTTAGTCAAAATATCTCAACAACGATTAGATGGACTGCCATTAAACTTGTAAATGTTCTCCACAAGATGAATCCTACTATTGATGATCTTCTGAAGTTTTCTCCAGTGCCACCTGCAGGTCAAACACTCAAGTTTATGCCAGGAAAATGCAGCACAACATTCAACATATTAGCATGCTGTTGTTAGCATGTAAAGGTACTAAATTGTAATCCACCTAATATTAAATGTTACAAATTAGCATGTTGCACCAAAAATGATTGACAGACATTGATTGGATATTTACCGTGCTTACCGGACACAAAAGCACATGCTAGCTTTTTTGCTAATGTTAGCATTTTAGTTGACAGTAAGCTAATGCAAATATTATAATGTGTTACCCTGACTTCAGATCTATGAATCACATCTGATTGATTGATTGATTGATGGCATGGTAGTTGCCAACCTATTTTCTGTCAACTTGAAAAATGTTTTACTCTTAAGTGAGAAAGTATTCAATTATAGTCAATTATACCGAAATAATTAATTGAGTCTACATCAGAATAATTAAGGCAACACAAAATTGCAATTAATTCAGTTTCTCAGGTTGTTAGCATGCAGTTGTTAGATCCTAACGTCTCTCAACATGTTAAGAGCTCGGTCTGAAGAGTCGGAAATGTCCTAAAATGGCCACCGTATAGAAATGTATTTACGTTACAGCATGACCTTCTTTCTGCCAAGAACCTAAGGACAAGCAATACACTTTTTTAGAGCTAAAAATAACAAAGTTGGATCGTCACTTTTTAGTTCTCTTATAAATGTTAATGACACTTGCATATAAGTATCAAACACAAACAACAGGAAAAGAACAGTCCTGACTGCATTTCTTTGACAAATGCACACCTCTAAATGGATCAGAGAACGCCACTATTTGAATATTTTGTGTTGTCAAATTTTGAGATCTGTTAACACATGTTTGGGGATTCAAACGTACTACCTTAACGTCACCTTCTCTCGCTACGATTTAAACATGCAGTCCTGATGGTTTACATAATATTAACATGGTTTATTTGTAGGAATCAATTTCAAATCTGCACATAAGCGTCTCAAAAATGTCTCCCCTCTCCTGTTAAATTGTTTAGATCAGAGCAGTTTGCTTCACTGCGGACCATTTTTATCACACTAAATATTTCCTGCAGAGTTGATGGATATATCATTTCATTTCAAACCTTTATTTATCCAGGTTGTATCCCATTGAGATCATTGATCTCTTTTTCAAGGGAGACCTGCTCAAGTAGGTTCCACATGAAACATTAAAAACATAAACAGAACAACAAAAAGGACATCATACAGCATCATTACAGGGATTACAATTTACTTGTTTATTTGTGTCTTTGACTAAATGCTCTGAGTATCATCATAGTAGCATTGAATACTGTAACAGCACCTAAGAGTTACAATTGGAAGTTGTTGGAAGTAAACTCAATGTAACGCACTGAACACAAGTTTGTTAATTGTAGAGATAATACAGGAGATGCTACGTGATCATTTTGCAACAGAAGTTTACTTCTAAATGTTGTCTCTGAAAAAATCAGATTTTCACACAGATACAGTGTTTGTCTGAACCTTCAGTGTGCCATCGTTACATTTTACTTGCATTTCCTGTGAGACTTTGAAGCAATGCGGGGACGTTCAGACTGTTTTGTAAGACTCTGTCACAATGGTGGGTTGCACCAACTGTGCCAAAGTTTAGGAGGATAAACTGTTACCTAAGTCGACTTCAAATAACGGATTGAAAGACGTTTATGCCCTGAATTAAAAACATTTTCTTTATAATGTTACAGTCAAAAGTACACACACATTATCAGCAATAAAAAAAGTGTCACCTTTAATGCATTTAACTGCTGCTCTTTTTTAACTATTTACTATGGATTCTTTTTTATTAAATAAGGATTATACTTCTGGTTATTTACTAGAGTAAAAAGTAAGAAATAGCCTATACATAAGTGGCATGGAAAATAATGCTTTTTATCTGAAGGACATTACTTGAGTAAACCAGTGTGATAAACAGTATTTTTGTAAGGAAAGAAGGACGTTTGCAAACTTATTTCAAAGCAGAGATAATGACCCCTAATTTTGTGTAAAATGACTCCGCTCCTCGTGCGCCTTTATCCACAGAGACACCTGCCTCTGCACATGAGACGAGCACTCTTTAATTTCCGTTTGGGTTCACCAGCACCACACGGTGTCCTCTCGGCCAACCTCGGCTCTGGTCACCTTAAGTTTCGGTTTGTTCCGTGAAATCAGCTGTTTGGATCCGTGCGTAAAACCTGACTCACCCGGACATCCTCCACCTGTCAGCTCACAACACACACTGCGCTTCTTCACGTTGCGACATCATTAACTCTGCAGATGAAGTGGGTGGAAACTTTTATACATACAGTCTGTGGTGTGAACGCAAGCCGAGTTCTTTCTCTCTTGTCTTATTCTCTGAGGAAGTTAATTTCTGTCTCTCGGACGAAGCGCTGCAACACAAAGGTAAGTTACTTTTCACTTGTTTTGTGCGAAAAATAAACACCAGGTTTTGAAACAGTTTTCCACAATATTATTGTGACTTTTCAAATGTTGGCCCTCTATCTATTACCTTTTTTAAAGCCTCACTTATGTATAGTGGGTCACACTTTTAGACCAACGTTACATGTGATAATCACTGTAGTATAGGCCTACCTATTAGATGTGCTGTTAAAAGTTGTCAAACAGGTTGCTATTTAAAGGTGGGGTAGGTAATTTTGGAGAAACCACCCTGCTGAAAAAACCAGCTAAACCAACAAGGCTGGTCAGGCTGGTAAACCTGGTAAAGCCAGTCAATATTAGGCTGGATTAGTTTGCTGGTTAAGAGGGGTTTTGGACACTTTAGCTGATCAGGATAGCTGGTTTGGTCACAGTGGTCTAGCTGGTCACCATTAGCTGGTCGGGATAGCTGGTTTAGCTGGTAAAAGCTGGTGGTCACAGTGGTCTAGCTGGTCAGGATAGCTGGTTTGGTCACAGTGGTCTAGCTCAGGGGTTCCCAACCTTTATTGTGCCAAGGACCGGCAGATACATTAAAAAAAAATCGCGGACCGGTTGTCAATTTTAACTGATTTTAATATTTACTCACCACCAGCAGGTAGCAACAGAGGCTAATTGTATATAACAGCCTGAACAAATACTAGAACAATATGCATCCAAAACATATTAACAGAGTTTAAAAAAGAACCGGTGTTGTTTTTTGTTTTTTCGGAAAACCAAAAAACCGACGTTATTCAGTTTTTAAACCAAAACGGGAAAACGGATAAATCAACGTTTTGGTTTTGTTTGTATGATTTACGGATAATCCAGTGAATGCTGGGAAAACGAGGAGAAGGCGCAGTTATGAAGGGGGTGTGTGTGTGTGTGTGTGTGTGTGTGTGTGTGTGTGTGTTGTGTGTGTGTGTGTGTGTGTGTGTGTGTGTGTGTGTGTGTGTGTGTGTGTGTGTGTGTGTGTGTGTGTGTGTGTGTGTGTGTGTGTGTGTGTGTGTGTGTGTGTGTGTGTGTGTGTGTGTGTGTGTGTGTGTGTGTGTGTGTGTGTGGTGTGTGTGTGTGTGTGTGTGTGTGTGTGTGTGTGTGTGTGTGTGTGTGTGTGTGTGTGTGTGTGTGTGTGTGTGTGTGTGTGTGTGTGTGTGTGTGTGTGTGTGTGTGTGTGTGTGTGTAAACAAATAAATGCTGCCAGACACGAACACTCAGAGCTGAGCAGAGCACATACACACACACACATCATGCGCCTTGGTGACTGACATCTCCTTCATAAAACTAATAAAAGGGGGATATTTATTGCTATCGGGATGTTAAGAGCATTCCATGGAATATAACAAAAAGTGTATCTCGAGCCGGTTTCTCAAACTTACCTACCCCACCTTTAAAGTTTTTCCACACGCCATTCTCATTATCTTTGTTTAATTAGGATTTTAACGAAATTCTTGGTAAAAATGTTCATCTTTCTTTTCTCAAACTGATTTGACGCCAATAGTCTTTGTTTTCCTTTTAATGACACCCAAGCCAGCCCCTAAACCCCAGATCATGAACGACTAAGGTTTATTAAAGGTGGGGTAATTTTGGAGAAACCAGCTCTAGATCGCTAGAATTTGAAAATACACTACTTTTTACAGTACTACGGCTTCCACAGATGACATTTTTTTATGGATTTTTTTGTCAAAGCACTTAAGATATTTATTGCTATCGGGATGTTAAGAGCATTCCATGGAATATAACAAAAAGTGTATCTCGATCTGGTTTCTCAAACTTACCTACCCCACCTTTAAGTGACTTTTCAAAGTAATGTAGGCTCTATTTATTAGCTTGTTTAAATTCTCATAAAATGTTTCTTAAATTGGGTCACCTTTTTCTGCTGCTGTTGTAGTGACATGGAAAGTAAAACCTTGAGTCAGGTTAACTTTACATGTGATGATCCCAGTTCAAGCTATTCTAAAGAGTACATTTCAACCTGTTATTTAGATTATATACATTGGCTAATATAAGATAAAGCTAATCATGTTTTATGTTCTTTTCCTGCTCAGGTGACGAGGCATTGCTGAAATACCACCTCTAAAAATAAACTGCATCCAGGTAGAAGAAAAGTGAGTGTTCAAGGTTTTCATTCTTGCTAACAGGGACTGTGACACACTTGAGGAATGCAGTTTTTAAAAACCTATACTCTGACCTTAAAATCAAGAACCAGTGGAGTTAAAGGTAGGGTATAGGTAATTCACTTCAGAAACACTTTTGTTATATTCCATGGAATGCTCTTAACATCCCGATAGCAATGAATAAATGTAATGCTTTGACAATAAATATATACAAATATTTCATCTGTGGAAGCCGTGGCGCTGTAAAAAGCAATTATAGTTGGCAGATAATTGGACTTGGCCTACCTGCCTGTCAGCCTTCCATCTCGTGCACAAACTTATCTCGTGCCCTCATTCGTTCGTGTGTGTTGGAGGAGGGGCTCTGTTAGGAAGTCTGAAGGAAGGGGCATATTTTTTTCGGTTGTGTACTTTCAAATGATAGCTTACTCGAGCTGGTTTCTCCATTCTTACCTACCCTACCTTTAAAAGGCCACTACGTTTCATGTGATATTATCTTAAGGGTGCACTAAAAGCTAACCAAAGGTAATCCAAAGTGATGTCATCAGCCAGAGCCTCCCCTGAGGTCAGAGATGCTAAATCTTTCTTGAATCTTCGTCAGGGTGTGTCAGGGTGTGTCAGGGTTTCAGTGACGTTGCTGGAACAGGTATTCTATTTATACGATAAGTAAAAGCCTTTCACGTACCAGTGTTGGAAAAAGTATTCAGATTCTTTATTCGAGTTACCTATACCACACTGTAAAATACTACATTTTATTTAAAGTACTGCATCCAAAATGGTACTTAAAAAAATGTATTTAATAACAATTAGGAATATGTACTTAAAGTATTCGGAGTATAGTCATTGCAAAAAAACCTCTAAATACATTTAAATATATAAAAAATATTTTAAAGCAAAAGCAGCAAAATTTCACATTTAAGAAGTAACATATTTTTTAACATAAAATGTTAACTACTTGAGTACGCTCCATCTCCATGTTACTTTCCATCACTGTACTTGAGTAAGTTACTTTATTTCAGATCTGTAATTCTAAATCTCTAAATCTGTCATGTAACTGTGGACTTCCCAATCCCAGCCTTTTAGTATTTAGTATGCTGATACGTATTCTGATCTGTTATGTGTGCTTTAATGTTGTTTAATGTGACGCATTCAAAAAGATAGCTGAAGCTCCTTTTTCACAAGATATTGAAGATGTTGGTTAAAAAAGTATAAGGTTAATGTTAAACTATTGATATTCTATGAATGGATGTAGTGTACAGTGACTTCTAACAACTTGTCGGCCTGCTGCCGGTGGAAACTGAGAATAGAAGCTGAGTTTGTTAAATCAAAACAAAGGGCTGAAAGAAGCTAAAACTCTCCTTAAAGCTGAGTTGAGCTGCAATCTACTGTCAAATAAACCCTTAATAGTTGTGTAGAACTTATTGTGAGGATTTCCCTTTTCTGAAAGAAATAAGGCAAAACATTTATAAAAAAGTGATCTAATTGGAATTGCTGGAGGCCTGTTAGCTGTTCTACCTTATCAAAAAACTATTATTATTTTCTCTGACTAATGGAAAAAAGGTCTGGTATTTAAAGCCCACTAAATTAATACTTTTACAACTTGTTTAAATAAATGCATACTCTTAATTGAACTAATGCTGTGTTGTTTGGTTGAGTTCAATGATGATGCTAGAAGCAGATTTCCTCAGACAGTATTGAGCCCTTTTTACCGTGTGACTCCTCACTTCAGTATCGAGCCAAGATCGAAAGTGAAAGCTCAGTTCCCAAGATAGAAATCTCATTTAAAAGATAACCTCACATGACGATATCTAATTACAACTTTCTCTCTATTCGTACCCCACTTGTGTGTTAGCACACTGGTTAAAGTAACCCTTAAAATGTACTTTTTTTACGTTCTCCTTTGTATTTGTTATTCGTTTATGGACTCTAAAAGTCAAACAGGACTTGTTCCCCTTTTTATGTCACATTACTGTTTGGGGACCTGATACTGTAAAGCAATGTGATCTATGATGAAATAAAAGCTTCTAGGTGGTATTTTTTATGACAGTTGTTACTGTCAATTTGTTTCAGAGTTAAAATGTATTTGCAGTATTAAATTATAAACCTATAGTTACCAGTATAATAGTGGTGCAACTTCTGGTTAGGAAATATGATTGATTGCACATCAAGCCACCGTCTAAACGGTCTTTTGTAACAATCCACATCTTAAACTCGATCCCTTACATCAAAAAGAAACTACTTAGATTTACAAATTACATGGTTTAGATGCTTTTATTTACAGATAATTCATTTAGCAAAATGTGTCATGTCTTTATCAAGGAAATGATCAGTTATTATTGTTGATTCATTCCATGCTTATTGAGTGTCACCATGAAGAAGCACTTAACATAACAGCTGAACTTGATGTGAACAGTGTTGGTTTTGCAGGTATTTGACCATAAAATTGAATCAAAATATGAAAATATAAATGTCTGATTCACATTTCATGACTATCAAATCAAGATATTCCAATTTAGACCAAAACAGTTTAAGCTGTTAGAAAAAAAGTCAGAAGATGACCAAAGTCATTATAGGCTTCATCATCGTGAAAACATGAATATCTTTGCTAAAGTTCATGGCAACCATTAAATATTTTCAGTCTGCATGAAAGTCAAATCAACATTGTTATCTGCCAGAATAATAGAAATACAATAGTCATAATGCTTGGCAGTTTTTATTAAAGGACAATGACAAAGCATAGAGTCCAGCACTGCAGGTTTACAGCTGATTTTGGCATCCGGCTCTAAAGCCAATATTGATTAAAGGTTAGTCCACACAAAGTTGTGAAAGCATGACAAATATTTGAGCATCATTTTAGACCGCAATCACCATGTGAAAGCATCTGTAACATCAATCAATCATCAATCAATGTTTATTTATATAGCCCAATATCACAAATGTTACATTTGTCTCTGGACTTCACAGTTTGTACAGAATATCAGTATGACAATACGACACCCTCTGTCCTTAGACCCTCACATCGTACAAGGAAAAACTTCCAGAGAAACCCCACAGTTTAAAGGGGAAAATGGGAGAAACCTCAGGGAGAGCAACAGAGGAGGGATCCCTCTCCCAGGACGGACAGACGTGCAATAGATGCCGTGTGTAAATTGAAAAGATAATACATTTTACAGGTAGACCAAATGTTTGGAAATGCATGTGTCTATAATAAGAAGATGAATCCACGAGGATGTCAACAATCCTGTGGGAGCCATCAGGGAAGTAGTATGATGAGTCAGGCAGGACCACAGTGACAGGTTCAGCCACGACTGGAAGTCCAGGGCTCAAATACAGGACTCAGGATAGAGGATCCAGGACACCGGACCGCAGCAACAGGATCAGCCACGACTCAGGATCCCAGCGTAGATAGACACCAAAAAGAAATGTGGGGAAGCTGGGTTATTCGGAACATGAGAGTACACAGGTACAGAGAGAAGGAAGAAGTAAGGTGTCCCCTGACAAACTAAGCCTATAGCAGCAAAACTAGGGGCTGAGTCTAAACAGCCCTAACTATAAGCTTTATCAAAAAGGAAGGTCTTAAGCGCACTCTTAAAAACGGATAGGGTGTCTGCCGCCCGAACACAAACTGGAAGCTGATTACACAAAAGTGGAGCTTGATAAGAAAAGGCTCTGGCTATCAGGCCCAAGTACGGGCACGAGCAAAAATAGGACTCAAGAGCACAACCAGGCAAAAAGGTCTTTAGTCAGGCGTTTAATCCAAAGGCAAATACAGGCAAAGGTCCAAAAATGTAAAGACTGGAAGGAACGAAAAACAAGCAACAAGTTGGCGGAAAACTACTAAAGAAGCAACAACCAAAAACAACCAACTAGGTTGGTAAAAATGCTAAGCAGCTAGAACAATAGCTTACGTCAGGAGAGTAACATGGAGCACTTGCTGCTATACAGACAAGACGAACTGGCACTGACCAAGGAAACAGCACAGACTAAATACACAGGTGATGAGTAATGATTAGGGGCAGCTGAGGCTCATTGAGGCCAGGCAGGTGATTAACAGGGAAGGAAAAACACACAGGTGAGGGAGTGAGGCGATCAGCCAGGGCCAGGATGTGACAGTACCCCCCCTCAACGACCGGCACCGGACGGTCCAGGCTCGTCTGGATGATGCCTTTGGAAATCCCGGATGAGGTCTGGGTCGACAATGTTCTTTGAAGATACCCATTCCCTCTCCTCAGGACCATAGCCCTCCCAATCCACCAGATACTGGCGTCCACGACCCCGCCGGCGAACTGCCAAGAGCCGCTTGACAGAATAAACTGGCCCTCCATCGATGAACCGGGGGGGCGGTGGGGGTCTGGAGGCAGGGACCAGAGGACTCTCTTTGACCGGCTTGATCCGAGCCACATGGAAAGTTGGGTGCGACCTCATGGACCTGGGAAGCTTGAGTCTCACAGCAACAGGATTAATAATCTTTGAGACAGGGAAGGGACCGACAAAGCGAGGAGCCAACTTACGGGACTCGAAGAGGAAGGTCCCGAGTGGAGAGCCATACTCTCTGGCCGACACGATAGGTGGGAGCAGGGATCCGTCTGCGGTCTGCTGCCCTCTTGTACCGAGCAGATGTCCTAAGCAGCACTTGTCTAGCCCCATTCCAGATGCGACGGCACCTCCGAATCAGTGCCAAGGCAGAAGGAACCCTGACCTCTCCCTCCAGGGACGGAAACAGGGGCGGTTGGTAGCCATAAGCACACTGAAATGGGGAAAGACCAGTAGAAGAGCAAGGCAATGTGTTGTGCGCATACTCAACCCAGATGAGATTCTTACTCCAAGTAGTGGGGTTCTGAGAGACGAGACAACGCAGGCCGGTCTCTAACTCCTGGTTGAGCCGCTCGGTCTGTCCGTTGGACTGAGGATGATGGCCGGAGGAGAGGCTAACGGTGGCACCCAGGAGAGCACAGAACTCCTTCCAAAACTTGGAGACGAACTGGGGACCCCGA